ATATAACATAAATAATATACATATACATACACACACACACACACACACACACACACACACACACACACACACATATATATATATTTGCTACCCACACATCTTGAAGCTCATTGCCTACGTATATCATTGCATCTATCCCGTCAGACCGGCGGGCGTGAGACGCGAACCTACGCTGAGATCACCGTAGCTGTTGCAGCTGGGGTGGCCTCAAACCGTCACGACACCGAAGCCTTAGAACGGTACAACAAAGCTGTAGACGAATATTGTGTCTTGGCTGAGTCCAATATCACCATCTTTGCGGATGGATGTAGAGTCTCAAGCACGCCTAAGATCATCAATACGTATGTGGGCCATGGGGCTGTGATTGACGGCGCCACATGGATTGAGAACACAACCTTGCTGTCGGAACCAGATGAGCACTGCACTGTGTCGGCCGGAGCTGTGGTGAAACATTCGGTACGTTGTGTGTTAGAGGGTGGCAATACATTGGTATATTGATTGACATCTGCTACATATTTATGCGTATCTTTGTATGGATTTGTGTATATGTGTATTATAGATTTTGCAGCAGGGCCTATATTGATATACTGAGGGAAATTGGCAGTGAATTATATACCGGTACGCTGTCAGTCGGCTTTCTATGCAAGCGTTGTTATGATAACCGAAAATTCTGTCATTCACACCAATAATGGTCATTTATGAATCGATCAAGTGTGTTGTGCGAGCATATTCGCTTGTACTGCCACAGTCTTGCCCGAACGTGAACGCCCTTGTGATTGATTACAAAGACCTATTGCACCGAACTTTATATATATATATAGACTTCCTGATATCTGATACCCAACTAATCGTATATGTCAACCCCAATCTACACACAACCACACACACGTGCACAGATTCTTCAGTGGGGCAGTGAGGTCGATACCTTCGGACTATCCCAGAACAGCGTGTTGTGCGAGCACAGCCACGTAGAGCGCCACGGCATGTTGAGTGACTCGTTATTAGGTCCCAACAGTGGGGTTGCTGAGGGTGAGATCACCGCGTCTCTGTGTGGGCCGTTTGTGGGCTTCCATCATCAGTCGTTGCTCATTGCGGCGTTCTGGCCCGAGGGCAAGGGCAATGTGGGCTATGGTGCGAATGTAGGGTCGAATCACACGTCCAAGGTAGGTCGGTGCATGCACATTGTAATGAATGCGACGTTAGCGGATATCACGAACCTTGTGGGTAGACTGACTAGGTGTAATGGGCGTCGCACCAATGTGTACAGGGTTTCAATAGAGTGTGGACGTTGAATGTTCCTGGGTGCGACGTATTAAGATAGTCCCATCGTTGAGCGAGTTGTAATCGCGACTTCGCTTCTCTATTGCGTATTACGTTGCGGGGGC